TTTTCGGATACTCAGCTGCGTAAATCATCAACTCGCAAATATCTTGCGAATCTCACTAATTTCGTTTTCGATAATATTTTTTCAACACCGAAAGAAAGTTGTGAAACGACCCGTAACAAAAAGTCGTGTAGTGTTGATTGCGTTGGTTAAATTACGCTTGACGCATACAAACGAACATATACCTTGGGTAAGGAACGTTGCATACATTTTTGCAGGAGCTACGATACTGACTGTTACCCAAAGCAACGTAACATATAGTATAAAGCAATAAAGTCTTCATGCTCAAACAAGCACTCTCTTTTTCTTGGTCTATCGTACGTAAAGAGACCGAGTGGCCAAGTACAAATTGTTGTCCCTGTGAGGGTAGTGCGTATTGCCCCTGAATGTTTAAATTAAAAAAAAAAATAAAAATAAAAAATCTAGTTATCGAACGAATCTTAATTCGTCATAGTTGTCATATTTTCGCGCATCGTCTCCTTATTCGATAAGCGATCGGCCGCGCGTGTCTCATTATTGACAACAGCTTAGGCAACAAAAAAGAAACGAAAAAGGTCCAGAGTAAGATGAAGTATATCCTGGTGACGGGTGGTGTGATAAGCGGCATCGGCAAGGGTGTGATCGCCAGCAGCTTCGGCACCATCCTCAAGTCGTGCGGCATATCCGTCACCTCGATCAAGATCGACCCTTACATCAACATTGACGCCGGCACCTTCTCGCCCTACGAGCACGGCGAGGTCTACGTGCTGGACGACGGCGGCGAGGTCGACCTTGACCTTGGCAACTACGAGAGGTTCCTCGACATTGTCCTCCACAAGGACAACAACATCACCACAGGTGCGTGCGCTGCTGCGATATTAATTTTTTGCTTGTTCCGGTATTGCAGTTCGGTACTTATTTGTTACTTTTTATTTTACTTCATTTTATTATTACTTTTTTTTTTTAATTAAAAGGTCCAACCATTTCTTTTGTTCAGTGAGTGAAAGAAAAATTATAAGAGGGGGTAATTTAATTGCCAAGTGCAAGACTCTTGCGAGGGTGAAGAAGGAATTTGCAAATATAAAATCACGTTATGTCTGTGCCAAGTAATCAGATTTGATATCTTTTGGCTCAGCTGAATTTATGATGATTTGAGTCAATTATTATTTAAATGTCATTTTTATTACATTCAAAACTGGGTAGACTATACATGATCCAAGTATTTCTTTGATAATCGAAGACTACTATTACTGTATTGTTATTAACGAGCGATGTTTAGGAATTCGAAAAACTATATGTATTTCAATTGTTATGCATAGTTATTTATTTATAACTTGGCTCGGTTTCATAACTCAAAGTGTTGTAATTTTTGCAATTTGTTTGAAGCGAACTGATTGATTTTTTAAGGACCTTGAAAAATATTTTTGCATTGATTATGGTTGACAAAGAATTATATTAACTTTGAATGAAGAAAGTTTCACATTATCGATTCTCTAANAAAAAAATGAAAAAAAAAAACTGAAAACCATGCCAAACGATGTCTGACTCGCAGTAACAAATAAAAAAAAAAAATCTCGAGGCACAAACGAGCTCGTCACGTAAATCCATAGCATGTACACCCCAATCCCTAGCTCATTACGCACTTACGCGTCCATTCATCGCTCCCCACAGGCTCTCTCTCTCTCTCTCTCTCTCTACCCTCCCGCCGACCAAAACACAACATAACTTTGAAACGCATTTACTTTGCCTTGCCTCTGCTACTGTACGAGTATGCCCGCGGAGTTGTGCGGGTTCAAAGTTTCTTTCATCCACACGAAACGACGTTTCGAGCACACGACTGTGGCTGGTATTATTGTACATGTACAATACTGCAAGGGATATCGCAATATAATGCGCCCGCAAAATTATGCGATCGCTCTTTGTTTTGCACGTATACGCGTTATGCATCGCACCAAACGCGATGTTTTGCAGAGGTAATGCGATTCAGGGCAAACGTACAAGGTGCCGAGTTCAAGTTTAATGAATAAACGCTCTGACTTTTGTTACCACCTCTCTCTCTCTCTCTCTCTCCCTCGATTCGTATTCGTATACGTACTAAAAAATAAGCAAGAACAATGGGTGCTTCGAAGAAATTGCGTTGGAAATTAATTGTTGAATTACATACAGTATTATTTTCGGGTCTTTTGCTCGCATGGCACTTTCAGAGAGCTATTTACACATTACAAGGATTCTCATTGTCAGGTACTGTAATCATTGGGCATTTTAAATTGCAGTTAGTGAAAAAAAAACTCCGAAGCTTGGTGGTGTTGTTGAAAAGCATAATATGTATTTATAAATCACCGACCCTCGACACGTTGTGCATCGAGCAGTTAATCCGTAAACTTGACGGGGCGACGAAAACTCAAATAAATCTCTTTTTCGGTGGTCTATTTTTAAAGTCACGTAAGGACAGACAAGACGAATCAAAGTGTTTGCTTAGCACTCCAGATCCAATAGTCGTCCATCCCTCCAAACTTGTGCACACAAACAGCATTAATTATTTGACGGCTACATTGGCAATGTTACATGGAAAAACTGATTTTATCGATGGCACCCTATAACGCATCGGATCCAAGAAACAAAAAGAAAGCCACCATAACGAATTGAATTATCAAACCCAAAAAGCTCAAGGTCCCCCCACTCGGCGTGAAATCCACGTTTCGAGTAAGTCACTCGTGAAAAATCGTCCGTACGAACGAAAATCGCTCTTTCTTTCTCTCTCTCTCTCCCCCGTTCTTTCTTTCTTTCTTCTCCCTCGAGGCGAACTCACCATTACAAGCCCCTTGTACAATTTATAACGTCTTTCTTGCGTGCCGAAGCGCCGCGCGAACAGCATACCTAATGTCCCTCTCTTCTATAGGTAATACGCGGAGTCGTAAGTAAGTATATATGTATATGTATACGTATAAGTAGCAAGTGTGAGGTACGACCGTACCTGTGTGTACACGTGTAAGTGCACACAGATATGTATGGGCACCACTACCACTAGTATAGTTGAGGGAGAAACACAGACCGAATCATAAATCGTCAAGCCTATCTCTCTTTTCCTCTCTGCACGAGTAGGTATACGTATACCGCACAAAGACGGAAGTAGGTACTGTACGTGCATGCAGCTGCGCCAGCATCTTTGGCTTGACGATTTCCTTGTTCTCCTGCCCTGTTTTGCCTTTCTTTTCACTTCGACTGCCTTTTCTCCTCTCTCTCGCGTATCCTGCATACACAAATGTGTGTGTGTGTATGTATGCATCAGCTTCCCTCTTATTTCCTCTCTCTCGTTTTTCTCTTTCCGACATTTATGTATATATAGTCTCGACTTGCTGCACGTGGGGAATGGAAGAGAAACTTGCCATTGCACACGTACAGTGTATATACTTATACGATTGCGACTGTTGAACTTGCGCATGTATGCTAGAATATAGTGTCCTGCAACCTCGCCGCACCTCGTGTTTGTTCGTACATTGGTGGTGTATATATCGAGTTACCATACGTTTTGGGTCGTCTTTGAATAGCGTTTAAAGGTCATTGTCATCGATTGCGCGTGTGTGCACATATGGTTTTATGTCGCTCTGGGAGTCCCATTGGATTTAACATTCGGAGGTATATATGGGTAAGCATGAAGTAAGGGGGTATCCCTGCAAGAAAACCTTCCCTGAGCACTAAAATTTACATGTAGTGCACAAAACTTCGAATAAACAGATGAACAGTTATAAACGCATAGCCGAAATATTCTGAGTTATAAGACTCCATGTAGTATGAATGTAAACAATAATTAGAGCAAATATTTTACAAGGAATGATAATTTTAATTGTACGTTACGCAAGGATATGTAGGCACTACACCTTCATTTTAACGCCAATCAATGTACGGAAAATCATGTTCGAAAAAAAAAAAATTTCGCTTCATTGCAGTTGTAACAGTATACGAAACATAGGAAAAATGAGACCTCTGCCTCTGTAATTGAATTGACCTCACTTAACACCTCCGTAACAATTACAGCTTCGTACATGAAGTCATTGCGTGTTATTTCAACTTTTTTTTACTGTCCATACTGTACAACTAGAGTTAGCTACTATTTAGAAACGCTTCAATATGACTGACTGAGACACTATTTTTCATAGTTGTTTGATTTTGCAACTTTACAACTCGTAAATGCATGATTTTAGCTCATTGTCAAACTTATTGAGTTCACTTATCCACGTAACGCCCTGAGACTTTTGTGAATACATGGATATCTGCTTGAAAATAGATTATGAGAAAAAGATAACGCTTACCATGTCATCAGAATAGTAATGAAAGCAACAGTTTTTTCACACATTTACTTCCAAGTACACAGATTTTATACGAAAAACCAAAATCACAAACAACTGACTGAGGGCAGTAGAATAATATCCTTTATCATCCAAGGTACATAGTGTGTCATCATCATTGACGTAGAATCGTAAAAAATTTGGGTAACAAGCTATTACAATGAGACTCATATTTTAGTCATCGACAACCAATCATACATAAGATCAATATTTGAAATAAATAAACTATTTACAGAATTAAGTATTATAATGGCGATGTACTAAGGTAAGTTTACGACATTGAAAAAATGAAATGACACGTTTATTCATCCATCTGGCGATTATCTATCTAATTTATTTGAAAAAAAAAAAAAAAAAAAAAAATTGCAGTGACACTGTCCGCACAAAACTTAATTACAATGGTGATAATTTGGTTGAACTTATATGAAAATAACGTCAAAGTCATGTAAACCTTACAGAAGTAAAGGAAACGATCGAAAAACCCACATATGTGGGATAAAAGCGGACAAAAGTAGGGAGTTCTTGTTGGCCAATTTGTTTTCTCTCTTAGTCCTACATGGTATGAGGTATCATTTTAGCATACAATCAATGCCACCAAGGACAATTTTCACACGCTCATGCATTATACGTTATTCAAACATACCAACTAAAGCCTGAAAAATCACTACAACAGCTTACCGTTTTAACAGCATCGAACTCGCCTCTCCTTAGTAGATCCATCAGCCTCTTTCGCTCCATTTCCTCCCTAGTAACGTAAATTTTTCCGTTTTCCATCTGCTGGCTCGGAACTCGCGTCTGCAGATCCGTGTAATCATCGTTCAGAACACTATTGTAGTTCAACGGCTTGTTCCGCAGAGGCGCGATCTCGACGACGAGGGCCGGTTCTTGCCTACGCTCGAAACAAGTACGCAGTGGTGGTACGGGAGGCAAATCTTGTTCGAAATTCAGATTTTTAATCAGCACGTCACTGCTGTTGATAAGCGCCGTACCACCCGCCGTCGTCGATCTATCACTTTGGATGGTACTGCAGACCGACTCGACTTGGACTGGAGGGATAGGCTGGTTTTCACTTGACAAGCTCTTGCTCGACGATATCTCCGTTAAAACCGTACCATCACTCGTAACGTGGCCACCGCTGTTAAGCTTCAACGTGCTCCGGGACTCGTATGAGTTCGGGTCGAGGTTTTCCCGTGCTCGCGAATAATCGCCGTTTCCCTGCTGCCTGGCAGCTTCATCACAGGCTAAATTAACCCCATCAGTCGCTTTAAGGCTTGAAGTTCCAAATGTGGTCAGCACATGCTGGGGTTGCCGATCTTCCTCGGGATCTTGAGTTTCCTTTTTTTTCTGGACAGGTGGTGCCCTCTTTAGCCTAAAGCTAGGCGACCTCTGCAGGATTTTGATGCAACTATGAAGTCCCGTTGATTCGGGCTTGCTCTCTGGCTCTAAGCCCTTGCGAATGGGCCCGCTGATTTTTTTCTTGTCGTTTGTGTCCTCGTCTCTTTTCCCGAAGCCTAGGCTCGCGTCCACATCCTTGGACGTTCTCTCTCCGTAGACGAAGTGCATCCGGCCGGGCTTGAATACAGACTCTAGATTATCCGCGTGAATGACCTCCGGCTGGAGGGTCGACTCGTAGATCTTTTCGACGTACTTAGTCGTCAAGCAGTCGACATCGTTGGGCCTACTAGGTTGGGAGCTCAGCTTTTCTGGCTGAACGGGAGTCTGAGGCTTGAAGGTCGACTGGTTGAGGGAATCTGGCATCCTTGTTGGTGACATCGGTGATTTGTTCCTCATCTCGATGAGAACATTCGAGCCTTGCAGGTTGTTGCTGTTCCTCGACTTGCTCGACCGACCCTCACTTCGGTCTTGGAACGCCTGGATGCGTGCGTTGACCGATACCAAGTGTTCCTGGGACAAATCTGAGCCAGACTCTGTGGGACCACTCGTGCTTCCTGGAGCGTCTTGCTCGCTGGCTCCAACCGTGGAAGCCTCTCCGGTTGGCTTACTCGGCGAACCACCGGTTGACTTGGAACTGGCTCGTATGGACTCGCGTTTGAAGGAGGAGCGACGGACGATCGTGGGTTCAGGTGGTGGAGCTGCTGACATCTCGTTCCGCGCCTTCACCAGACTGGAAATACGGTTCTCCATCTGGTGCTTGACCCGAGCATTTTTGCCACGGACGCTTATTAGCGGCGCTGCCTCCCCGGGCCATGATGGATTATGGGGATGGTGCTCCTGTTTCTTAGGTGACTCCTCGATCCCAGGGCGATTCGACGACACCGAGCGGAAGCTGGAATTGGCCGGGTCGGCTCGAGACTGCTGAGCCCGTGCTCCCGCTGGGCTAGCCTCCCTCGAGCGAAGTCCAGTGCTTGTCTCTTGTAGCTGTTGCTGCTGTTGCCTTTGCACGCGCGCACGATTCTTTAGAGCAAGGTACTGCCGGTAAGTGCCCCGGCTCGTGCTGACGGCAACGCTGGCTCGCTGGTCGTTACTCGTCCTTAGCTCGTCATGGGTAAGATCGTCGTAGCTCGAGGAGCCGTTGAGCTGCGACCGACGGATCCTCGATTCCTGCTGACGCATTCTGCGGTGGCTCTTCTGCTCGGCGCTACTGTTGGACCGCGTTAGGCCTGTTGTCGCCGTTGTCTTGGATCTGGCCTCCCTTGCGTTGAAGCCCGCGCAATTCTGGCTCCGCGTCTGGCTCAACCACTCGTCAACCCGCTTCTGGACCTCACCCTTGCGCAACATCAGCACCTCGGGCGCGTTCGCCTTGGTTGAGCGGGTGCTCGAGCGCGCCTCCTGGTTCAACTGGAACGCCATGGCTGGGTTTCTCTTGTCAGCGTGGCGTAAGCTTTCTTCTGTTGGTACTCCCGCCACCACTGTTGCTATGGGAGACAGGAAGCGCTGCCTGTCACGCGAGCGTTGGTGCACCTGCGTCTGCCGGCTGATCTTGGTCGGCGACACGGGCTGATGGAAGTGCTGCCGCTGTTGGTTGTGCGACCTGTGGTGCCGATAACTTTGCTTCTCAACGGCGTGGCGCCTCTGCATGTCCATCAACTCCTCGAAATTGTTGACCCCGATGTCAAGGTCAACCTCGACGTCACTTAGATCCGAGGATCGACGGTAGTTAAGGTCCTCATACTCGTCGAGGATGTTGTTGACCGACTGGGTGTCGATTGAGCTCGTGCTCTTGGACTTGCTGCGGCTGAGGTTGACGAGGCACTCGTCGCTGCTCGACTGATCGTGAAAGTTGCGGTATTGTTGCTCAAGCCTCGCGGCGTTGGTAAGCCTGCGCCGTGGGTGCGGGCTGACACGTTCGTACTTGTTGCTACCTGTAGCGGCCTGTTGGTGCTCGTAGCGCCTCGTTGGGTGAGCATTGCCGTGGCTTCCGGAGGCAAAGCGCGAATGTCTCAGGTGGTCCCGCCTCGAGCCCGGACTCTCCAAAAGGTCAGGAATGCGCTCTCTGTGCCGGCCATACATTATGAGCACCAGTTCCTCTTTACCGTCGACCCTGAAATATTTCCACGCATACGTGTGTTCGATGGGATAATTATGTCTGTTTCAGGCCCACGTGATTGTAGTTGGCGTCATCGTTATCACCAGGAAGTACCGTGTTTGGACTACTCGAAGTTGTGCGTGGCCAGCGTACTTTCGTCATTTCTTCCGTTCTCTAGTGCTATTCTCATCTGGAACAAACAACGTGTAGTATATTAGGATAGCAGAAAGAGCATTTTTTCTGAATAAGAAACCCAATGAAATCGGTATATTCAACTATTACAATTATTATTACATAATGTTTTGCAATTATAAAAATAAACAAGATAAACATCAAGTTTTATAAATATAAACGAAAGAAAATAAATAAATCAACCAAATGAGAATAAGGTTGATCGAAATTAATTGAGGGAATAGATCCATCTCACTTAAAACATTTATAGTAACATAAAACCTCCTCTTACATAAACACTCGCACGTATATTGTCAGAAAAAAAATCAATGCTTTTTTTACGGTAAAAAAATTAATAGGTGTATGATGTATGTATACGCATAAAAAATAAAAAAAACTTAAGACAAGCTAAATTTGTTTTTCCCTAAAAGTGTAGGTAACAATGTTGCATAGACAAAAGATTTTTTTTGTTTTGAAGTTCGAAAATATTTGCATAACTGTAGTTTTTTTGAGTTTTGCAAAAAATCAAAGAGTATTGTTTAAAGCTTTGTATCCAAGGAGATAGATGAAAAATTCACCCTTGAAACTCAGCATATAGTTTTAATTGCTTTCCTGATTATAAATATATAAGCTGTGGAAGTATTATTTCGAAGAAATTAATTATTTGAAGACTTTAGTTACTATTATAATACATTAAACAGTATTACAGAATAAATTATAAATGCGCCAGCTTGTGCGAAAAAAAATTACCTAGTATGTCCGTACGAGTTTTATAACAGCTATAAGTCACTAGTAGATTAAAAAGAAGACTTTATGAAAGTCAGATAACAAATCACAGTAACATTATAATTCAACAAAAGAAAGATTCATTTTGTAACGAGGAATTTTTTGATGAAAATCAGATTATAAAACAGAGTAACATATTATTTAAAAAAAACAAGGGTTTATTTTGATACCAAAAGTGACAATTCTTCTCTTTGTAAAAAACTAAACAGTATAACATATACATAAAACCAACTATAAAATGTAAGTAAAAAAAAAATCAGAATAGCATAGACTGCATATATAGTTTTTAATTAAGTATAGGAGTGAATTTCAGAATTTTTGTGAACAAACTTGTTATTTCATTTGCTCATAAATTTTAAAATCATACATCAATTGAAGTAAGTTATTGATAGATCTTCTCAAAACAAATTTTTTTTTGTATAATACGTATACGTGAAGACTACAATCATCAGAATTAGCATGGAAGGATTAAAAAAAAAAGAAGTTGTTTCATAAGCTCCAGATAAAGTAAAAACATAAGATATTCCATAACGTTGTAGATATACAAATTTTTAAACACGAAAAACTACGGCTTTTAACTGCTTTGTACATGTAAAAAATAATTTTTTTTTTTTTGTACAATTTTTAAAAACAATAATGATACATATTATTTCTTTAACTTTTATAGTATTTGCTGAAATAAGTTTAGAATGTTTAAATGACAACATCATTAAATTCGCCTATTTATCATTTCCTTAATTTCGTTATAATAATAAAAGATGACCACGTGTCAAATTACCTTATTTGTGTATGAGAATACCATTTTTTTTACTCTTACTGTTGATACACATCTTACTTCCGGTAATATTTTCTACATTAAAAACACTAAGGTTGTAGTATAAAAATAAAACTAGCTGCTAAACTATACACTTATTTTATAAGTAAAATTTTAAGGTGGTCAAGTTCTGCACTTACGTAAATAAATCAACACTAGAATATCTCTTTAAGGCCACTATTAAGTGAGGGTCCAAATTTCTTTTACACGCTATTAACACTTGTTAACATGAAAGATAAATATATCAAACACGACTGTGCAACAAAAAGTATCTCAAAATATAATTCACTCAAATATTATAATTAACAGATTTTCATGATTTTCTGATTATAAGCAGAAACAAAGAAAAATCTATCTGGTTTATTCACAGAGAGAAAAATGTAATAAAAATTACTGTGATAGAATGGTAATCTGGTACTGTTCGGTCGTCTAGAGACTTTTTACTAAATAAATAGTAATTTTTAATGTTTGGAACAGTAATTTTTGTTATAAGTTAGTGATTTTTTTACTGTTTGTACAAAAGAAATTACTGTCCGCAGTGGTAAAAATTAGGTTGACCAAAGTATAAAGTCCCTAGACGGAAAAATGACACCAGATTACCATTTCAGCACAGTAATTTTTATAATATTTTTTTTTTCAGTGTTCAAATCATTGTGTTAAAAAAGACAAGAACTGTAAATTATACCATAGCTCCCATATCATTAAATTGTAACTCATTTTTATCAAAAAACTTTTTAGGCCAGATTACTTTTCAAATCGTACTTGGCAAAAAGTTGTCATTTGGGAAAGAAGAGTTGGCCTATGGTGGGACCAAAACAAAACCAAAAATTTCTTACTAAGAAGCATATTAATAGCTTACCTCACAATTATGATCGTAACACAAGTAATGATTTTTTACAATCAATGTAATTTATTCCCAACTGTAATTCAGTAAACTGTAAATTTACGATAAATATTTCACAGGATATAAGAATGTTCAATGACATCCACATAACGGCCACAGCTGTAGAGTGCTTATCGGGCACTATGTTGCATCTCATTATATTACTAAAATTTACGAATGCAATTATTTATCAATCAAAGGTATGAGTTATTCAATGTGAAAAAGTAATCAATACTTGCTTTAATAACTAATTGAGGTTGAAAAAAAAAACTGAGTAATAATACGTGTATAACCACAAACGAATACTTTTTAGAGACAAAAACTTCATGAACATATAGCCTTGGACTGGAAAAGTATAATAATTGAAGAGGAAAAAAGAACTTTGAACAAAGTAGTCAACTCCACATACCAATTTTTTTTAGTTTACATATGTGAGGGTTCAAACAGCAATCGATTTCGATCTGCTTATATGTACTTAATGAGATCAAGAAATAATTATTTTAATTTACTTTTCAGCTCTTATTTTTATAGCAGTATCATTTTTTGCGGGACTCCCTGTGGTTAACATATTTTACACGAATATTTTTACAAATTTAACTGTTAAAAAAGAACTACCTGCAAAAACTGAGTTTTTCATCGATCAAGACAAGTATTTTTATCCCCTATTTGCCTACACTTCGGGGGGAAGTCTTTTCGAACTTTCAGCCCTTGTTGCCCACGATTTTTTGTACTTCATGTCAGTGAATCACAGCTGCTGTTTATTCACTATAATCCGGTAAGATGTTATATAAAAAAATATTTTAAAGAAAAATCTGTCAACACAATTAGAGTTTCCAAGTTTTCTTCTGCAGTTATTGTAACACAAAGTCATATAATAGACTGGATATATTTGGTGATGGTGTAGAAGTTTAATTGAACTTCTTATCACGCAACTATTGTACTTTGTAGGGTTTAGCCACAAGGCAAAAATAATTTTTTTTTCTTCATGGGTCAAAGTAGTTCATCATTTGCATGTGTGTAGTAACTACTTAAGACCAAGTTCAGACATATGTCACGATGCGGGCAGTACATGTGTAAGCGAATATATAAAGGGGGTACGCAGCAATTATGATGTAAAAACGTGTGTTTCGGCTCAGATTTCCAGTGGACCCTACTTTTTCCAATAGCACGATCATCCACACACCGTCTTCATTATGAATAATAATTATGTAGCCTATTAACGGTTGCCACAAAGCGTATTATTTTTCATGCTTCGGTTTACTTCTTAGAGGCTCTAATCACTTGGAAAGTAAAAAGTACTTTGTTTCTGAACTTTCCTTTTTTTATTTTGATTTATTAATGACAATGTATTAATTAAATTACTCACACACATCCAACCGCTATAAATTGTACGAATACAATTTGTATTATGTAAGGTAAACAAATCAGACTACATATTTTAGATATTCTTATATTTTAAATGTGTGCAGAAACAGTCTCAATTTCAGTGGGTAGGGTCATACACCGTACTTATACTCACATTGTGACAAAAAAAATTTTTCACTTATTTTTCTCTCTCTTTCATTTTAATATATTATGGTTTAATGAATTTTTATTTTACATCCACTAACGATAATTGCGAGTTCGATGCTTGAAAAAGTTTTGGTCCCTTCGCATAAAGAAGAAGTATAATGTACCCTACAAAAAATGTTGCCTTAATGCCCATCGTACAGGTGTATTAGGCTTTTAATTTTCCCTTTGAAAGGGAGGAAAAGACATACTAATTATATTATTGTGTACTCAGGATGCGGTTAAAAAGAGCTTCGGAATTAATCAAGAGGGTAGAAAAGGGACTAGCCACTTACAATGAGGATACCAGAAACGACATCGATCAAGTCATCATAGAAGCTATCGAGTTGCACAATACGGCAATAATGTGTGTATGCCAAGTGTTAATCTAAAAATAACTGGTATCGTATATTTTTGATTCATTTCAGGAGAATCACGTTGGTAGACGACCTGTACAATTTCACGTGGTTTTTTGTCGTTTTGGGAAATACACTTGTGATAGGAGGTGGACTTTTAATAGTAATTATAAAAAAACGATGTAAATAATGTAGAAAATTGTTTTGATCTACTAAATGATATTGAATTTTATAGTTGTTGACTACTTGGAAAAATCAAGATGTTCTCGAAATGACAAGAATGGGTGCAACATTTTTGGCGTTCAATGCACACTTTTATTTCACTTTTTATACTGGACAGAACGTAATCGATAGCAGTTCATCAGTATTTGATGCTAGGTATTCCTTTTTNTTTTTTTTTTTTTTTTACTTATCTTTGACGTATGTAAACATTAATTTGTGTTATACTTTAGTTATGATGTGCAGTGGTACTTACTGCCGAGAAAATCTGTTATATTAATACAAATGATGATGGTACGAAGTTTGAGATCTCAACAGCTGACTGCGGCGAAGTTATTTCCTCTCGACATGGAAACTTATATGAAGGTATCATACAGTGTTTGAAATTTAATTATTTGTGTAAAAAATTAAAC